TTTTTTGAGGGGGCAATTTTCTATTGCATTGATAAAGTGGGTACATGGCATGTAGCCAAGCAATCAGAACAGCACCTGTTTGCCAAGTAATTGTAATCAAGGCCAAGTTTGCCACATAAGTTATCTCTGAATGTTTCATACATAGTAACATGCCAATGGAGCGGGGTTTGATACCAATATATCTAAATACCTCCATCATTTTTTGCCTGGGAGAGAAACTACTTCAAATGGCAATAATGAAGATTTTGAGCTCAGTAAAATGTTTGCTCTATTTCTCTGCTATCAGCTAATGTCAACCCAGAGGCAATGGTTTATCAAACAATTGCTTAGTTTTATGTGGTTTGTGCAAACTTGGAGGCATTATTGAGGAAAGATAAGGGAGGCTGTCTGGCTGGAATGACGGGGTAAAAAATGAAGCTGTTTTTTTACCTCTGTCAGTGAAATAGGTGGTGGTTTTATTGGCACTGGTTTGCCGATAGTTCCTATAAATAGTTCTCAACAAGTTTTTCAAAACTTTTGGTGAAATTTTCAGCTACTGTAGTTGGAAAGAAGTTATAAGAAATATATAATAAATCCTTTTTTTTTTCTCTTAATTTTTTTGTATCAAAAAACATGGTGATGATTATTGTAGCTGTTATTGAAAATTACTGCATATCTCGCACACAAATGCTTGTCTGCACATGCACATGCACCTGCCTGTGAAACTGTTTTTGTAAAGCCTGGTTTAATTAGAACACATCAATTTCTTCTAATAATTAGTTATGTGATATAATGTTCTCTCTTTCTCTCTCTCTCTCTTTCTCTCAAGCAGACAAAAAGAGAGAAAGAGTTGTAATCAAACATTCTCCATCTTCCATGCTTAAAGTCCCATATTGTATAATTAGTTATACAATCTGGACTTTCATTGATGAGGATAATTAAAATGTACATTGTAGTGTTTCTAACCCAGCAAGAGGTCATGCGTGCGCGCATTGTGTGGCAGGCTGTGTTGAACATCTGGTGCACTGCTTTGTCTTTGACTCTGATTGAACATGAGAGCACCAAGGGTTCTACTTGACTGGGTGAAAACGAAATTTATTACAGTTTTCTGGTCATATGTTGTTTTATATAAACTTGTGAATTTGTGGCTGTTAGTGTTAACACTTTGACAGACTGGAAAATGTTGGGTTTGTTTGATTCATCCTAGTCTTCTGTTTGGAAGGTTTTCAACTTACTCTGACAAATAAAGATGTATTTCTTTAATTTTATTCTTGAAGTGATTGCATAATTTTATAATCCATAAATTATTTTTCATTTTACAAACTATTTACAAATCTCTTCTGTCTTCCAGTCGTCTTCCTCACTCCCACAGTCAACACCACATTTCCCTCCTCTCCTGCACACACAGAGATAGATGGCGCCAGTGATGACAGCACCACTGACTCTGACACCACTGTCACCACCACCAGCACCACATTTTCCATAGACCCACCACCCAAGGAAGTGACCATGTTTTCTAATAGCACCACCAGTGGCACCACTGCAACCACCTCCGACAGCACTGTCACAAAGGCACCACCCAAAGTAGACACCAGTGGTGCCGAGGCACCGCCAAAAGACACCACCACCACTGAGAGCACCACTGAGAGTGCAGCACCACCTTTAATAGTGCAGAACCTCCCTGCTGTATATGAGATCGTCTTCCCAGAGCAAATTCGACACAAGAAAAGAATTGGAATATCTACAAGAGATGACAAAGGACGTAGATTTAAGGTATTGGATTGTGTGACATGTATTTCTTTCTTTTTTTGTGCACATTTTAAAAGAAATTCTGAGACATGATTTTGACTAAGAGATCAATAACAGCCCCCCCCCCCCCCCGCCATGATGTTATTCCAGCATGTGTCTCTACCCCCTGTGGCTGTAGACATTTTACTCTAATGTCACTTTCCTCACAGCTGAATAGAATATGATACAGAAACTGGGATGCCCACCCACACCCAACTGTTACCATAGATTACTGATTGTATATGATATTATTACTAACCAAAAATTTTGTTGAACTTTTAAAGCTTGTGTTTTCACTGCATTCAATGTGAAAGCTTTCTGGATTTTCCAAATTTCAGTCTTCATTCATTGCCCTGGACCCAGTTGGGGCATTGCCTCCCCCAGCTACTAGTACGTTTTCAGAATATTATCAGTTTTTTATAAAATTCACCCGATGATCCTGTGACTCTGCGAGCTTGCCTAAGCATTATAATACTAAGGTCTAGTACTCAAAGGTGGTATGTTTCAGAACATTGTGAAATTCTAGCTTGCTATTTGCTGCTAAAGGTGTGTATGTTTTTTGTTTTTTTTTTTTTAATCACCTGAACCAATGCTGCCAATTGCAAACAATGAAAGAAAAAGTCAGTGGGAAAAAAGCCATTGAAAGTTTTTTCAATATAATATATATGTCCTCATTTGTACCTTGTGATGACTCACTGTGGTATTTTCTACACACGGTGAACAATCAGTGTAAAATGACAGCCCTTTGACACTGCTTATTATATTAACACCAATCAATAAGTGGGATGAAATATGAAAAAAAAACATGAAAATTCTCTCAGAGAAAATCAGCTTTTTACGGAAGACAAGAGACAAAACACAAAGAAGTCGTTGAAGCGTGTCTGCCGTATTGAAAGGCTGGATATTGGAGCATGAGGCAGATTAAGTTCTTATGGGAGATGGATTAGAATTGAATGGTTTTCTCGGGTTAAAAAGAATGTTTAGTAAGGATGAGACATCAGAATCGTATACACGTCTATAGTTAAATTCAATGAATTCAGTCATGTGTCACTGAAAGGGAGGGAGATATGCAGATGGAGATATTAACCCACTTGTTTCTGATGAAGTGAATGATGTTATAAATATTGCAGTGATTTTTTTTTCTAGAGAATAAAAGGGCAGTCAGACAGGTTGAAAGCAATGAAGTGTGACATCTTTCAGATGAATACAAAGATTGTTTCTCAGGATTTTTTAACATCTTTTTTTTTTTTTTTTTTTTTTTTGCGAAGTCTAAAAATCATTTGAAAATTTCTCATATGTAACTTATTTTGGGAACACTGAGGATATAACATGTTGCTTTTTGTTGATTTCATTTTGTAATATTTCCTCAATTTTTATAAGATTTTTTACTATAAAGAAGAAGGAACAAAGTAAAGAAGAGTGACCATGTTGTTTAATAATTTATTTTATGCCATTTAAGAGTGGAGTAATATTATCCATACGTTTGTCTCTGAGGCTTGGTCTTACACTAAGTTTCCTGGATTTCCTGGTAATTCTTGTTCCACGGTGATGACTCATGCCGAGGTGATTTACCTGGCCATTAGCTCCAGGTAATAGAAAATGCCAACATTGTCGCCAGCATTTATTTCCCTCCGTGACGCTGATCGCTAAAAGTCCTATCTAATAACGTTGTACTTTTGATGATTCACTAACTGGTTTGACAATTGCCGTGTGTGAGTAGCGTGATGTATATTTGTTCTAGAGTAACGAGGAGAGTGAAAGTGTAGAACTGGCCGCGATGTTATTGATCAACTTTGAAAATATTTTCACACAACTAAGTTACCACTCTGTAATGTTTGAGATGTGATTTATTTACTTATTTATTTAATTATGTATTTACATTTTATTTTTTATTTTATTTATTTTTATTTATTTATTTATTTATTTATTGTTATTTTGCTGTAAATGATTAAAGGAAAAGAGAAAAAAGTATGTCCCCACAGGACCCTGAATAAAATACATGTTCATTAATTTCAGTTTGTTCACTCAAAACACGAAATAATTCCCTTAAAGATACCTCTTGTGGGAGTCTACTGTTTTAACGTTAAAACGTTTAAACATCACCACCACGAAAGGATCAGGTGTTGTTTCATCTGCCCTTCCCTTGCTTCTTTCTCTCATATGTATTGTCTTATTACTGGAGTCAACATGTATTGGCAATTTCACAAAGTAATGGTGATATTCCCATTGAGAAAATTTAGTCCTGAAGGTCCACTTAGTTTACTGGTTGGGTGAGTCATGTTGTCTCTGTACTAAACTGTTCAATGGCTAAACTAGTTTATTTTCCAGATTTTTAAAAATATTTTTGTAAGTTCAAAGAGAGCCCAAAATCTATAATGTGTGATATCTGAGATGAAAGCATTTTGTGTGGTTCTGTTTCAATTTATTCCTTATAAAAAGACAAAACAGCAGTGTTCAAAGTATATTTACAATAACAATAATACAATTTGCAAATACATTGTAATAAGTTGCTCTTTGTTTCTCATGAAATGATGATTAAAAGTAAATAGTAAAAGGCCTTGTTTTTCTACCTGAAAAGACAGACTTCCATAACTCACATTAACAAATTCCTCATGTGAACAAGGCTCTTTGGTCAAAGATCAGAAGTTATACCTCTAACGTAGAAAACTTTCTTTAGCGTCACCAGAAATTAAGGTTGTATTTTTATCATCAGTATGGTCATGCAAATATAAATGTAAATGAAAAATACAGTAAATGTCTGTTAACATTTTTGTTTTTCATTCCTGTAGGAACACTACCAGTATGTGGTCTATACAGTCAGTCTTGGAGGACACAGACACAAACTACAACTCCAGCTGAACCAGTGAGTACTAGTAGATATCTATCTCATATATGAGCTTTTTTTGTGGAAAAGCAGAATTCTGCATTTTTTAATTCAATTCTGGTGGTCCGCGAGATTTGTCAAGGTTAGGTGTTGGGTCCCATGATAAATGTTATTATTATTATTTTTTTAATATTTTTAAAACCTAGGTTCATGTCTGTTATCTACAGTGGACAGCCTGAAAGTTCTATGTTCTAATGTCTGAGCGTATCATGTGTAGCCACTGTGAATTAATTTAGCTGTTGCATGAAATTATTATGAGAAAAATCGTTATTTGGTTTGTGATATCTGACATCATATCCTATTTCTAGTGTTTGTTGCTACACCTCTATGTCAGCTTGTCTGAGGTGTTTATTTATGAGAGAGAGAGAGAGAGAGAGAGAGAGTAAGGGAAAGGAGAATGAGAAGAAGAGCGAGAGAAGGAGATAGAGCAGAGAGAAAGAGATTGAAGAGGGGGGGGATACATAAACAGACCTGAAACCTGCAATTTCAGTCTAGAAATGCCATGGAACCTACTTTATATTTTATTCAGAGAGAACTTTTTTTTGTTGCCAAAAAGGTCACCCAACTTTCTCACTTTTGGTTCAAATCGAATGGTAGATGACACAATTAAGACCAAAGTCCAAAAAAAAAAAAAATATATATATATATATATATATATAAATAAATAAATAAATAAATTTACAGTTTACAGTAATATAGACATTAATATAAAGTTACAACACAGAATATTTCATCAGACACCACGCCACCCCACCTCCCAGCTGGGCCATCACTACTCATGTTCTTACCACTAAATTATCTTGTCTTTTCAGGAAACTGCTGTCTCCTAAGATTCAACACAAACATTTCCTAGAGGGTAACACTCAGGTGATCTCAAAGGTAAGCTGACAGGAATGACTCACCTGTGAGATAAAGCCGAAGCCGACACTTGACTGGAGACTTGGTGCCAGAGAGCGAGCGTTTTGTATTTTTTAGTAGATTAATAGTTTAGTGATTTATTGTAGCAGCGTAGGATAAAAAAACTGGCATTTCTGTTGGTTACTAGCTGTCGCCAATTTAGTATAGTCTTGCTCTGAGGCTTTTTTTCTTCAGTAGATAAATATGATTTATTTTAGCTAAGCAAGATAGAAAAATATGAAATACTTTTTAGTCTATTGCCATTTATGAAGTATACCAGTCAGTTTGGTTTAGACTTTCTCTGTTGCTTGCTTCTTTTAAATTAATTTTTTTCAGCAGATGACAGTGGTTTATTTGTAATCAGGTACTGATAAGTTCTAAGTTCTAATGAAAGCTATAGAGTTATGTTTAATACACTGGCTCTTTAAGGACATAAACCTTTAGCTAGCTGTGAAAAAAAAAACCTGAATGATAGTAAATACTCATTTAATTTGAACAATATGAATTAGTGATTTCCCCTAAAAATATTTCATTATCAGCACTATAAAAATGCTTATTCAAACATTTTGCTAACAAAAGATTTTTACAGACAGTCATTAATTCATATTGTTTGATTTATAAAGTAATCATCGTATTGCTGGCTGTGTCAACAAACAGAATGTGAATCATCCTCCACTGTTTGAATATCTGTCCATTACAACTTGTGAAGTATGCTTCATTACTTGCAGGAAATGAAAACTGCTGTTTTACCTTTGAATTTCTAAATGATGATCTTTTTATGGACTAAAACAAAATTGACATCACGCTGTACTACAATGAAAGGCAATTAGAAGTGCATTGCTGTATTTGATAGATAGAAGTTATAATTGGAAACACCATTTTTTGTATTCCTGAATTGTTAGTTTTGTGTTTGGTGAAGTAAAAGTGGATGATTGTTGCTTGATGATAATTATCGGAAGTATTACAGGTATAAGTTTCTTCTGAAAGTTTGACAATATTTGAAAAAACAAATTAAATAAGCTTGAAAATAAACTTTTTGAATACCAGTAAATATAAACCACTGCCATACATCAAAAAACAAAAATTAATTGAAGGATCAGATTGTTAGATTGTTTACAACTGGTCATAATTATTGTCAATGTGAAATTTACAACTGTCTCCATCTAGGCAACCATTCTGTGCCAAGCACCTATTCCCGTCCCCTGTGATCTCTACCCTGTGGCTCTCCTGTTGTATTCCCTGTAGTTCTGCCCTTTTCAGGCCCAGTCATCCATGATTTGATTGATGTCAAAGGACAAGTATATTTTATGTCACAGAAAACACGGGTTAAGCACATTAACTTCACAGACAGGTCACACTTGGCTGATCATAGCAGGTAGATTGAAGGATGAAAGTCCTCTGGACATGTTATATTTAAGCCCCCAGAACCCCGTTTCTTGTTGGTAATAATGAAACGCCACATCACTTCTGGTAGGTCAACCCTAGGTGACTAGATCTTATTGTCTTGTGACGTGATTCATCCGTGAGATGAAGACTTTTTTAAACAAAGGTGAATAACACTATAACCTTGTACAGTGTGGCTTCCAGGCGGAGTTCACCATCCGTCTTTAGATAGACTAAGAGCACATTCAGAACAGGGGACTAACAGATCCTAGGATCAAATATGGTCGACCCACTAAAATGTGTGTTGTGTAATCCCCACAGGAAATCTACATAATGTCCGATCCTGAATTAAGCTGAAAGCTTTTTTGTGGGTCGCTATTTTGAAGGGCGTATCTGTTAGTTTGTTGTTCTGAATGCGCTCCTAATAATAGGCATTGTCTTCTGAATCAAGTGTATGCTTTGCCACAGGTGTTATATGACAGCTTTGAGAACACCTGTTCCCCCCCCCCCCCCCCCCCCGGGGGATGTTGGGGGGGGGGCAGACATGGTCAATTTAACACATACCTGGCTGGTTATAATATTAATCTGTAGGTAACTGGAGAGGTTGTATCGAAAAAGGACATTTTTAAGATTAGGTGACTTCTAGTTGTATCTGAGGTTTAGTAGAAAGAAAACTGAACAGGGGGATTTTGTTTGAAAAGATTATCCTGGAATGTGACTGTCTGGGGTTATGACAGGTTAGGTATCTAGCCTCTGAGAGTCAGGAGGGTCAATAAATATTCCACAAGTGAAAAAGGCGAGAGAGGAAATTCATTAGACTGTTAAGCCACCAAGAAAACAGTTCTATATCAAATAATTTGTGGTTTTTGCCTTAGATATGTTGCTGTTAACGTGTAGTGATATTTTTCTGACACAAACCAAGATGTTAATATTTAGTGATAATTATAAGTATAAATGGCTCAAATAAGTTTGCATTTGTTTTGACGAAGAAGTCAATGATTACAAGACAAAGCTCTGGTTAAAAAACAACACAAACCTTGAATTGCTTCTTTTACTATATGGAGAGCACTGACACATTCAGGTGATTAAAAATGGACCAGACATTTCAGCAAGACCCAGAAACCACCCCACCCCCAGATTTCTAGACCTAGACGCCTAGACTATAGATGTTTGGAATCTCTTTGTAAAACCCATAAATATCTTTATTTCCAATCCAAAGTTTCCATTAAAAAGATATTTCACAAATAAAGAAATTCAGCAGCTTGGAGACAGTATCAATCTGATCTGATACTGAAGAAATGTATTCATCAAGCTATCGAGTTATAAGACAGGAAAAAAGGTCCTTTCAAAATAAAGAATTTGGCTGAGGTTTGCATTACATACCACTTATTTGACTTTTCTAACTTGGAGAAGAAAAGCGCTTTCAGAACAGTTTGTGTGTGTACATAGAATATAATTAACTACTTATATATCGATATCTGAGTCAGGTAGCTGAAAATTCAGACATCAATACTGAATGTATGGTAATTGTCCAAAATATTTGAACAAAATTAAGCTGTCGTGGCTCAAAGCAGTGTTTTTATGGTATAACTTGAAAAAGGCAAGTTTCAAAAGAATAGGACTGGAATCATGTTTATAAATATTAGGATAAAGGATGTTAACCTTGACCAAATGTACTGATATGATAATTGTTCTGTGTGGAATTTATGAGGAATTACTCTTAGACTAGATATATAATTATTTATATGTGATCTGAATGGGGCCATAATGCTTTGAATTCTTTGCTGTTTGAAATGCCACATTCATGTGCATCGTGGTTTTTGAATACAAGGGCTGTGAAATTAATGTTTAATTTTTGTTCGAGAGTTTGGTGCTTATGGATAAATAGTGCTGACATTTACTGAGGCAATGCTGTTTTTTAAATGTCAGAATAGACATGATTTAGAACTTAAACTGAAAATTACTCCACAATACGTCGAGTTGATGGGAATATTACATGCACGCAGTATGCATTTGCTGTCAGCGCCTTCATTGTAGTTTTGTATTGACGTAATTGTCATATTTTTATATTGACTTCAGAAATAAGCTTTTGATAATTGACAATTGATATATCTGTAATGTNCATTGGGCCATTGCGCTTTGAATTCTTTGCTGTTTGGAATGACACTTTGCATTCATGGGCATCGTGGTTTTTGAATACAAGGGTTGTGAAATTAATATTTCATTTTTGTTGGAGAGTTTGGTGCTTATGGATAAATAGTGCTGACATTTACTGAGGCAATGCTGTTTTTTAAATGTCAGAATAGACATGATTTAGAACTTAAACTGAAAATTACTCCACAATACGTCGAGTTGATGGGAATATTACATGCACGCAGTATGCATTTGCTGTCAGCGCCTTCATTGTAGTTTTGTATTGACACAATTGTCATATTTTTATATTGACTTCAGAAATAAGCTTTTGATAATTGACAATTGATATATCTGTAATGTGAGCCAGTGCTTGTCTAAGCTGGTAGACTTTAGCCCAAGAACCGATAATGTTTTTACTGCAATGGGTGATATATGGGACTGATGGTAATAGTTAGTCGACTAAACTTTCCCTCCAGGGTTTATTTTGCAGTCTATTTGGCTAATGTACATTTGTGGAAATTAATGGATATTTATTGCCATTAACTAAAAGAATATTTTGCCTTCTTAACCTTTGTATAATCACAGCCTTTGAATAAAGCCATATCATATAACCTGTAGTGGCTGTTGAGTTCTAGAGTCAGCAACTTTGTATTATTTCCGATTTGAGCTCCCAGCTAAAAACGTGAAATGATAACATTTTTGCTGTTGTAGGAATAGGTCACTGTGATCCATCTTCTGTGGTTTCTGTTCCTCAATTTTAGTGCAAATATTCTCGCCATTCTTTAGGTCATTGCGTACTTTGTGTAAAGCCACATATATATAATCCCGGTGTAGGAGAGACGGAGAGAGAATGGGCTGATAAAAAGTTCCTTTATAAAGACTGACAATAACTTATTGATAACAAAGAAAGGGCTTTTATATCATTTCTTGTGTAGTAGTGGAAAATAATAAATCTTTTCTAAAGAAGCATTTTTTTATAGTATGAGGCAGTTATTTTGGGTCCTTTGTTGAAGGGTCAAAACTCACTTTTTCATAGGAAAAAAATGTGTTTTAACTGAAGTCTTGAGATTAATATCATTGTATGTATTGTTAAAAAGGAAATTATAACTTGTGACAATTGTTAGACTTAATATGCAAAGATCATTTATCCTGAATTATAGAAATATTTTCAAGTTTAAATTACACATCTCATAAAGTATATGTAGAGAGATTTCTGAAATGTGCAATGTTGTTTTTTTTTTTTTATTTTTCTTTCTGAAGACTGTTGCTGCTGAGGTAAACCATTGCATTGCTGTTGTGAATTGTTGTATATTGTTGTCACTGCACCATTTGTTGTTGTTGTATTTAAAACAATATGTGTGTACTTTTATAGTAACTGCATTGTTAAGCTTATAAGTGTTTGTAAAGTTTCTAAAATATATTTGAATGTGAATCTTTTTCAATAAATAAATATGATTATAGTTTTAGGAATTTTATATGCATGTATGCCATTTATTTATTATAATAAGAAACTTTAGCTTGGAAAGGTAGTTGACAAAAATTCGTGATTTTTGCTAAAAAGGGTTTTATCAGTACCATGAAATAATAGAAAAAAAAGAAGTCATTGGATATAAATATAAATTGTGTTCATATGCAGTTTACCTACGATGATAAATTTGTATTTTCTATTTCTGTGCTTGTTTTAGTACCACAGTTTAGCTTGGTAATGTTATTATGTTGAAGTGATTGCACTGCATTTCTTTACTTTCCTAATTATTCACTGCTGTACCAGTTTGGATCTACTTAATTCATCAATATTCAGAAATCATTTCCATTCAGTACACTATCATTTTTGTTTTGTATTTACTATAAAACTAGGTTAATATTTAATATTTGATTGGGGATAGGGTTTGTTTGCTTATTTGGTGTTGATTTGTTGTGAGTTGATTTAAAAGCTTTGAATGTGAACTGCTTTGTCTAGGACGTAATCAGTGTATTTTTACAATGTCATTTTGTATGGACAAAAGGTGTGTTCTCTTTTTCATCTTATGTTTAGGTATTTAAAACTTATTTGGAAATAAATTTCAGTGCTTGTTATAAAATGTAAAATATTTTCAGTACACGGAGTTGACTTATTATAAATTTAAGCCATTAATGAAATGCTTCATTTAGTTAAGATTATTGCTTTGATTATGGAAAATATTAAATTTTATATGGATTTGACATTTTATAAATTAAATCTTACCAGTACTTTTTGGTAGATTGATTTCAGTTGAATGTGGTATCAGTTACAACATTTGGTGTTAGGTGTTATGAGGTTTTTCAAGTGAATGTTATGTTTTTATGAATCAGATTTATTTTATCTATTTTGATGTGTGTGTAATGTCTGTATTCTATCTGTTGTAGGACGTGGAGCACTGTTACTACCATGGTCATGTGAAGAAGACTTGGAGCAGTTCAGTGGCTGTCAGTACTTGTAATGGGATCAGGTGGGTATCTCCTCTCTTCCCCCCCCCCCTCCATTTCCCAGCCCCCCTCTGCTTTCAGCCCCCCTCTTTCTCTCTTTCCATCCTTCCTTTTCAATCTTTCTATATCTCTCTCTTCCTGCATATCTCTCTTACACGCGCACACACACACACACACACACACACACACACACCATCACATTAATTTTATTTAATTCTGCCATATTCCCTCCCCCCTCTCTCTCTCTCTCTCTCTCCACACACAAAAGCCACCTAATAATGTGATTGTTATGATAAGTTAACCATTGTCAGATGTTTATGAATAGAACAAGAAAGAACGTCTAAATTCTGAGATTAAATTAATTCTTAATGTTATTTCTGCAGAGGAGTGATTCATCTTGAAAACGCGACCTATGTCATTGCTCCATTAGATGATGCCAGCAAGGAGGTGAGCGAAAATATTCCAGTCGTAGATTTATCCTCTGTGGTGTTTCAGCTTGGTTTTTTAATGTGATTTATATAAAAATTTCACTGACATTGTAAAAACATTATTTTAAGAGTAGACTTTAAGAGTGGATTTTAATTATAATTGTAATTATGATTTTGAGTTTGAAACATTCTCCACAAAGAAATGTTTGATGAGAAAAACTTTATCACATTTACTTTTATTTCATTCTGCCATCTTTCCCTCCAGCCCCGGGCACATGTGGTGTTTCAAACACTGGGACCAGTGGAGACATCTTGTGGTAGGTTTTTAAATCAACAGAAAGGTTTCATAGTGGATTAAAGCAATAATAACTCTTCCTGTGAGATTCAAAATTCCACAAGGAATACATTGTAAACAAACACACGGTGTGAATAAATTCTTGGATGGTGTTATTTCCAGGGAATGACATCGCTCAATGGCAGTCGTACACTCAGCTTCACAGGAGAGAATTCTTACACCGCATGAAGACTGTGAAAGCCAAGCGCGTGCAGAGGAACATCAGATCAGAGACGAAGTACATCGAGTTGGGCATGGTACTGGACCATAGCATGGTAAGATTAATCCACTTGGATAGAATAATATTTATTTATATAGTATTAAATATACAAATTATAGTACTCTGGGCCAATTTTACTGTGCTGTGAGAGTAAAATAAAGCATATGATTGGAATTGGCAAACATTTTCAGGAAAAAATGGTGCCTTTGACACCTAGTATTAATTTTATAACTCATTACACATATTCCATCACATATTATTTAAGTCAGTATTGACAAGGGAGAAAACTAAAAAAAAATGTACACTTTTTCACCAGTTTTATGTAGGATATTTTATTCACAATATATATTTATACATGTATTCCTTATTGTTTTAGTCCCGTCAAACCAACTTGTCTCAGGAGCAGTCCTTGCAGTATGCGCTGGAGATAGGCAACATCATGGACCTGGTAGGGGAAATTATTAAAAACTTTCAGTTATCTCTGTGTGTTGTTATAATAATGGTTTAATAAGGGTTTTATGCGCTCTCTTTGCAAGATATAAAACATATGGTGATTATATAGTTATATATAGAATATAAAAATACAGTATTAACAATGGGATTAGGTAAAAAATAGACCTTTAAAATAAATATTAATGAAAATACTAAGAATAAAATAATTTTTTTTGTTATTCATTTAATGTTATAGTCCCTTTGATGGGCCCATAATCTAGTCGGTGGTACCTGTCCTGTAGTGACCTCATTTTTCTCCATCTTTTCAGTACTACAAGCCAATGAACATCCGTGTGGCCTTGACCTACATAGAGGTCTGGAACCAAGGCAACCAGATATCTGTGTCAAGTAATGTCCGCCAGACGCTGCAGGAGTTCATGGTGTACCGCGAACAGCACATGAAGTCTGCACAAATAGACGTCGCTCAACTGATAACGTAAGATAAAGTGCACCTCAGTACCGTGGAAAAAAGCAAAACATTACAATTTGTATTTCCATTTATGACAATTAGTATTTCCATTAGGGATAATTGTGTATAAGTATTTGTGTAGGTTTCTATCGATTTTGCTGTTATTAACAGACTTTGAGGTGTCTGCGTTCGGATTATATTATGTTAATTGCCCTACTGCAAATATTTCATTTACTTCATGTAGCTGCCAAAGTGCATTATTTTCTCGGCATTATCTGAAAAAAAATTAATATGTAATTGTTGGAGAGCCCTTTGAGAACTTTACCAGTAAAAACGTCTTATTAATTTAGACAAGATTCCTTTATTGTTGCTTTTTTAAGTAAGATGATCTGTAATGATATGTATAATTGCTCTTTTACTTTAAAAAAAAAAAACGGATGTTGCAAAGAAACCTTTCTTCGTATAAGTTTTTGTTACGCATGAAGTTTCAACCCTTATTTTAATAAGAAACATTTTACTTTTTCCCACCATTATATGATGGACAACTTAAGCTCTGTTTCACTCTGTGTGTGTCTGTTGTTTTCAGTATGGAGAAGTTTGAGCATGGTATGGCAGGTATGGCGGTACCAGACTCTGTGTGTACAGCCAGGGCTGTCGGAGTCAATCATGTGAGTAGGCTACACATTGTTCGATTTCAGGGGCGGATTTAGGCCGTCTTCTGGGTCTTCCGGAAGACGGTCAGATTTTCAAGTTTACATTGAAGGGTATCTTTTTTTTCTGTTGGAAGATGGTCAAAAATGGAGGATTGATCACCAAATATAATATGGAAGACTGTCAGGAAATATTTCTGGATCCGTCCCTGGATTTTATATCTTCAGTATATTGTAATTTCGCTAAACTTCTGAGAGAATGACTCTTGTGTCTAGTCTGTGAGTCAAATTGAAAAAAAGGCCTTATTTAAGAATTTGGCTGCATCCTTTTTAAAGAACATGAAAAATTGAAAAAAAAATGAGGTTTTTAATTAATAAGACTCAAACTAAAAACTTTGCTTCATGGGGGAGGAGGAGATTTAAAACAACTATTCATTAATGTTTCTCATTCTACATGTTTCCAGAACCCTGACTTTGAGCAGCAACACCAGGTGGCGAGCACAGTGGCTCACATGATAGGACACAACCTAGGTCTCAGCCATGATGATAACTCACGTGAGATTATTATTATTATTATTATTATTATTATTATTTATTGTAACATGGCAATGTACACATTTCTTTCTTTCTTTATTGTGCCACTAGAGTAAGTTCATTTTCACACTGATCATGACCCAGTAAGTAGAATATACTCATAACGGTTACCTAACTATAACAATACAAAGATACAAGACTGCACAATTATTTTCCATCTCAAAGATCCAGAGTCTGTTCCATCATGATACTAAAAATGCTAGGTCTGCTATTTATTTTCTATTATAATAATTGATAGTGTGTGTTTTATCTCTCTCCAGGCCAGTGTTCATGTGGCTTAACGTCAGGGTGCATCATGGGACAGAATATTGTGTAAGTATTGTCAGTCCACCCGTAAGTGCATCTAGAGGTAGTTCTGGGCTCCGTATCTCGAAAGGTTTGCTATGTTGTGCAATTGAGCAAGTGTCTCGATTCCATGGCCCCGTATCTCGAAATAGAATCGGTTATGGAATCGAGACACTAACGCATGTGCGCAACGTAGTGAACCTTTCGAGATACGGAGCCCTGTTCGTCTTAATGGTCTCTCCAGCTTCATACCTCAAGAACTTAAAATATTATATTGTAATGATATATGTCTCATTGAATATCTAATATTTGCTGTTAAGGTAGGCAGTATTTGAAGCATATCCACATTTTTTTTACAAAAGCAGGAAAGACTAAAAAAAATAAGGCATTATTTGAGAGTATATCTCATTGGATTAGCTTTGCAGCCACACAATTTATCCTTTTGAAGTGAATGCTGCCAGAAAGCATGTTAATTGACAGACTTTTCCCTATTTGTACCTAGTAAATTCTATTTCGTAGTGACTCCCGTGGCCACCATCCCAGTGACTTCTCGCAGTGCAGCGAGGAGGACCTGGACACTGCGCTGCAGACTGGACTAGGCTGGTGTCTTTTTGAGAGCCCCAAGGAGCCGGCGTTTCCTCAGTACTGTGGGAACAGCTTTGTGGAGAGAGGAGAAGAATGTGACTGCGGGCCCCCAGAGGTGAGTCAAAAAAGGGGGGGGGGGTGACCAGGACATAAATGAAGATTGAATTCACATATATGCCCCTAAAAACACATTTAAGCCTTATAATCCCTAATGAAGATTTATGTCTTTGTGGAGAGAGGAGAGGAGTGCGACTGTGGCCCTCCAGAGGTGAATGACAGAGGGGAGAAGGGGGGTTACCAGGGCTTAAATGTGTTTTAGGGGCATAAATGAATATTCAAGGGCATAAATGAAGACTTTTGCCTTTTGTAGGCAAAAGGACAAATAGTCTAATATAAAAGGTGTGTGTGTGTGTGCTTGTGTGTGTGCATGCGTGCATGCGTGCGTGTGTGTGTGTGTGTGTGTGTGAGAGAGAGAGAGAGAGATTTAAAAATTGGTGTATTTGTGACCTTTGCAGTTAATTTTTCAAATCCACTACACCATCAGTAGATTTGCAGTACTGTTAATGTATTGACTTCCCATCTTTCCAGCTTTGTGCTAATACCGACCCTTGCTGTGACGCTACCACATGTCTCCTGAAACCTTGGGCAAGATGTAAATCTGGACCCTGCTGTCATAATTGTACTGTAAGTATATAAATAAACAGTTCCGCACAAGAATCTTAAGTACTATTTAGTTAGCTTAATTTTGGTTATTAATTTAATAAAGCCACCAAAAATATTCATTCAGCAATGAAAAGTTGAACATTTGCATTTTGATTGAATTTAGAATTTCTCTGACAGAAAATAGGTGCAGCACACAAGTCTTAGATTGTATATTTTATTTAATTTATTTATTGATTGTTCTAGGTGCGCACATCAGTGTTCAAGTGCAGAGAAGCTTCCAATGAATGTGATGTTCCTGAGTTCTGTGATGGTATCCATGGAGAGGTAAGAGAACAGTGGTTACCATAGTGATAGCATTTATAGATATAGAGTTATTTTATACTATTTTGAGTATGATGTTCCTGAGTTTTGTGATGGTATCCATGGAGAGGTGAGAAAACAGTGGTTACCATAGTGATAGCATTAATAGATATAGAGTTATACTCGAAAAGCACTCCAAGAGCGCAGACCTCCGCCAAGGCAGCTGATTATTGATTGATTATTGATCCAGATCACCACCAAAAACTAATCACTTCTAAGTTAACCCATTTCTGACTTACCCTGAAAATTTCATCAAAATCGATCCATAACTTTTTGAGTTATGTTGATGACAAACAAACAGACAGACAGACAAACATGGATGAAAACATAACCTCATTGGCGGAGGTAATTATAGTATTGTGAGTGTGGTGTTCCTGAGTTATCTGATGGTATCCATGGAGAGGTGAGATAATACTGGTTACCAGTTGAGTCATCTCATATTGAATTGTCACAAAACAGTGGCATCCTGAACAACTATCAATCAATAGTTTATCAACAAAGAGGAGTGGGTCTTGACTTGTTCAGATTTAAACATTTCCTAAGTGCGTTATATTGTTATAATCTTCCAGTGTCCGTCCAATGCCTATGTCCAAGATGGTCAGCCGTGTAGTGCAGGGAATGGCTACTGCTTCCACGGACGATGTCCATCCAAGGACCAGCAGTGTCAGAACCTGTGGGGGGAAGGTAAGGAGGCTGGTAGTTGAGATGAAATGTGGTAGAATATAGAGATAGGATATGATACTGCAGCAGTGGTTGATTTGTCATTTTTATGTTGGAAATTCTACCTTATGATAAGTAACTGTTCCATTATTTGTTGCACTTGCCTGTTTTATTATAATAATATGTAATGTTTGACAATCTTGTTATAATGTGTAACTTGTGTAGTGTATATGTCATAACTGCGGTGATTGCATTTCTTCGCGGAACTGAGATGCAAAAATATCCATTGGTTATAATAATAAACAATATCAGATTCAAATTGTGTACACAAGTAACATTGTAACACAAGTGATCATGATTTATTGCAGTTCATTATCTGAAATATTACTTGAATTATTTAGGTTCATCCTCGTCTGCTTACAAGTGTTACGAGGTGTACAACCCTACTGGAGGGATGAACGGACACTGCGGCAGAGACGCCAGCACTGGGGAATTCTGGGAGTGTGACCAACAGTCAGTACACCTCTCTCTCTCTCTTCAGTCTCATCTCTCTCTCTCTCTCTCTCACTGAAATTTTTTTATATTATAAACCGCAATTATCATTGTAAATTTATATTATATACTGCAATTATTATTGGAATTTGTCAACAACTTTTTATTCAGATTATTGTATTTTATATTTCTCACAGTCCATTCTTGTTACTGAATTTAGCTCATTATTATTCCCAGATAGATTAAGGTGATATTTGTGATGCAGTTTCCCAGAATTTTATCCAGTATTTCAGAGACAATGTGTTTCTGTTTCCAGGAATGTCCAGTGTGGGCTACTCCACTGCCAGGGAGGTCAGAACTGGCCGCTGAAAGGGGACACCAACCTCATAGAAATCTCCAGGACGATTTACGGCACCAGTGGGCAGGAGTATGAGTGCAAGTAAGGGACTGTCTTGATAAATGCCAACTTCAGGCAGTGTCTTGATAAATGCTGGCTGCAGGAGCTGTCTTGATAAATGTTGTCTTCTTGATAAATACCAAACATTCAGAATTATTTGAAGATCTCCACAGTCAAAGGATGTTTGGTCAATTTGTAAAACATTATGATAGTCCAGTTGAGAAGAGGTTTCTGTTGGTTAGGTCTATTATTTCAGCCAATTGAACATGGAGATGACTATAAGTTTTAAAAAATTGGAAAGTAAAATCCAAATGATTAAAGATGATTTACAGATAAATATAATGAGAAACTGGAGTACAAAGCTAATATTTTTACATTTATTATGGTCTAGTATTATGTTTGAATTTTTGATACAGATTTGTGAACATTTTTGCATTCTGTTTCTTATTTATTTATTTATTTATTTATTTATTTATTTATTATATAACTGTTCTATCTGTCCAGGACAGCCAATGGTGCCCCGAGTGCTGACGTGACAGACATGGGACTGGTAGAGGAGGGAACCAAGTGTGCCCACAACAGACTGTGTGTAAACCGTGTGTGTGTACACATAGATACCATCATCAGGAAGAAACCCTGCCCCAAGGGATTGGACAACAGGACCTGCTCGGGACATGGGGTGAGGAGGGTTACTGTTTACCTGTGATTATCTTGATCCTTGTGTTTCAAAATGATTAAATTACAAGCTTAAAATTTTTGGACTGGTTTTATATATAGATTTTAGTTTTTCTGAGCACCGTCAGTTTTGATAGGGTTAGGGTTTACCATAGTGATACAGGGGAAATTGGTGAAATTTCTAGGAAAGTCACGTATTTGTTATAGAGAAGTAAAAGAACATTTTATGTCTTTGAGGAGTGAGCTGTCTCAACCAGCACAATCTTAGTCTCACCTAACACATTTCTGATATCACTTCTCCAATCTCACCTACCACATTTCAATCTGACCCACCCTCAGGTTTGCACCACAAAGCAGACATGTCACTGCGACACTGGCTGGTCAGGAACCAACTGCAGCGCGCCTCTCCGTGACCCAGACAAGCCCACCACCCCACCAATCAGAGACGGCGATGAGGTCATAGTTCATTTCCCGCCTGATGAGATAAACACTGCGGAATTGTTTACTACCACTGTCAATGGTAGTGCTGTGCTGGCACCTCAAGGTAGAGAGGGAAGATTTTGACTTCTTTTTCAACTTTTTATAGCTCAAAATAATCTGAAGTATTATTATTTCGCAATATTACTTCCCGAAGAGGTTTATGTTTTCAAGAGTCATATTTGTTATATATTTTCTACTGTTTGAATTTAGTAATTTTTATTTGCAGCTGAGACGTGAAATGTTTCATTCCTCATTATAGTGAAAAAGGCTGCCAAATATTTCTTGCACATTAATTCATTTTTCATGTACCTGTATAATAATTGAGCCACAGAAATTATATTTGAAGTGCTTTTTAAGGATAATACATAGAACAGTCGAAGGAATTTTTTTTTTTTTTTTAAGATAACCATATTTTGATCCAATTAAATTGAAGATAAAGTTAAGTATTGTCAATGATAAAGATAACTTATGTAAGTCTGTCAGCAGATATTTTGGAATTTGGCAGTTGAATAACCATTTGATTTCTGTATTGAATTTTAATAGATTCTGAAACTAAAATTGTAATTAAAATAAGTTGAAGTCTTCATAAAGATATGTTCAGTGGTGACTGTCTATTTTCCAGTGGCAGACTCTGGTGACACAGTGAGACTGGTGATCATTCTTGTAGCAGTGACGGGATGTGTGGTAGTAGTACTGGTACTGGCCATGTTGTGTTACAGGTAAGACGGTAGTAGATTTGTCCAGATGTTCTTGACTCAAAATATCCACTTGGATACTGTCGGAGGGGGAATTAATCAAAGTTTGTTTTTTTTTTTCCTTTCTTTTTTTGAGAATGATTTTTGTATACATGATGTCTTTGGTAAATATGAATTTAAAAAATTATGCTTATAAGTCCAGGCTGGGACACGTTAACAGATTGTTTCATTTTACTGTATTTAAAGTGTAAAAATCTCATTAATAGACGGAAGAGCCCAGCCTCTGTGACAACCAAGTGGTTTGGAAAGAAGAAGACACTGAGCAGCAAACACAGCGAGTCCAGTGCTGAGGAGGGTATTGTGAGGATTATAAAGTTTGGAAATATGCCCTCATATAGGTGGGTCAACTTCTTTATCTCTGTACACAAGAACAAAGGTAGAGTTTAGGGTAATGATGTCATTGAAGTCGTAGTTATTGGATGGCCTCCTGCCCAGCAGGAGATCACCTGATTGTAGCTGTGCAAGGTTGGCGTGCTGCTTGACCATCTGTGCTACTTGATTTTTTTTTTATATCCTCATTTTAAATTAATGTTTTATTATTATTTGATTTTTTAATGTTATTTTAATTTTATTATTTATTTATTTATTTAATTATCTGTTATTATTAATATTTTTTGTAAGAGGAGAAAATTTTCTTCAGATCCTAAGTCGGTGGTAGGTTTTCTTATTCTTCCTTTGTTTTAGATATTACTCTAGAAATGTATATGAAATAATGACCATTAGATAATTAATAAATATCTGAAATAAATTTTGCCATTATTTTCCAGGCAAGACAAATTAGACGAAAGAAAAAAGAGGCGAAAGAAGTCACCCCTGGGTATCGGCAGCGGCAGCGAGTCGGAAACCCCTCACATCAGCGCAGACGACCAAACAGACATCAAAATCGTCCACAATAATTTATCAAAGACCCCGGAGAGGGGGATTCTCAAAAACGGTCCAAGGAGCTCGGAGAGTTTACAGAACATAGGGCACAGGGACGACAGTGGGCGTGGCAGCCGGGAGAGCCGTAAGCCCGAGCTGAGTCCCAGCGACAACGAGGTTTACATCATGAGCGATGACAGTCGGGGGTCTGGTAAAAGATTGACGTATTCGCACAGCAAGGATAATTTTGATGTGACGAAGTTACGGGGGTCACCTGTCCCGCCTCACACCCTGTTTGTAGATAGTAACGGGGACCCTATATCTATTGATATGTTAGAGGAAGAGACGCCCTCCATGTCAAGTAAAGAAAACTTAGCACAAACTTTAATGTCTCAAATTCCTAAATCAGGGAGCAAAAACTCTTACAGAGAAGTGAAATCTGATCCAAATTCTCCTTACTCGCCACAAGACAGACAGCCGCGTTTAGGTGAGGAGAATTTATATGATAATCAGATGTCACCAGTGAAATCTGGAAGCGAAGAGGGCCTTTCCTCGAAATTGTCGTCGTCTCCGAAAAGGTCGCCTCAGAGACAAGTGAAAAGTAAAAGTCGAAGTAGGGAGAATCTTCCCGACCGCCAACAGGTCGACCAGTCTCCTTGCAGAGAAGAGCAAGATGGCGGCAGCGGAGAAAGTGGAGACTCTCTAGGAAAACAGCAGCGGTTTGGTTCCACGTCCAGGTCTCGTATTATCAAACTACGCAACTTGGAGGACTTGATAAAACAGATAGACCAACAAGAGTCCAACAACCTCTCTCCTGCAAATTCGGAAGACTTTCGCTGCAGCGAGCCCGAGGCGGACCGCCATTTTCGTAAAGGACAGTTCAGTCTGCAGGAGACGGAACCCGTGGTCGGTAATGGCGGCACTGATCTGGATGGTTTTGATGTGAAAAAACAAAGAGACAGCATCGATTCTGTGTCTTCCCCAGCCAGTCCTCAATATTATCACATCGATTCTTCTCCGAACGGCTCCCCAAATAGACTAAGCCAAAAGAGGCGCTCTTTTGGATCCGGCGGAGCTTTTCGAGAAATCTCTCCTCAGCAAGTTTTCCGTCCTCTATCGAGTGAAGACTCGCAACTTCCTCACAGCGTCTCTCCCGACAACCACTTTCGTCCCGTTTCACCGCCGAAAACTCCCGTGAGGCGGGTGTCGCCGGAATACGGCTACCCCGCGCACAAACAAAATCAGTTTCGCCCCATTGCCCCCGCCCGAATATCTTACGAGACGTCAGATCAGGCGCCGGTTTCTCCGTCAAAAAGGAGGCACTCGACTGGTCGCATGAAAAGTAGACAGAAGTATGTGTGACGAGAGTTCCTGTGCGTAAATCTGGACGTCGAAATTAAAAACTGCCACTTAAATATCACATTTCTGTCATAATAAGATGCTTAATTTTTCTCAAAGTTATTATTCTCGACAGTTTATGTCAAAAGTGTAGTATTTTTGTACGTGGCAATAGTGCTGTTCTAAAAGCCCGCAAGCACACCGTCATTTGAGGTGTAAATGTGCAAAAATATCACATATTTCAGGTGCTCTTGCAATTGAGAGAAAAACACCTGATTTAAGGACGTTCAGTAAAGTTTACTTACATCAACAAAATTCATCTAACTTTCTACATCAGAGACGCCAATTGCAGAGTTAGGTTTCCTCAACATGCCCCGTTTGTGTAATGTTAATGAACTACACAAAAACTTGTAGAATGCCACTCTGGTTTGATCTTGGTTGCAGTGACAGTGTGATGATGCGGCTTCCATTTGGTGCTTTATGTTGATATCTTGCTTCATACACTCATATTTAAAGTGATGTCACTGAACTCTGACAACTCTAAGATTGTGATTTTAGTTGTCCAGAGCTCTACGATGGCGAATCATGCTTTCAAATTATGTTGTCTTTAAACATAAGAGAGAGTGACAGACGCAAAAAAATATCACTGTATAATTATTATGCTTTGCTAAATTTAATTTCTCCGCCATCTTGGACATTTTCAAAGAAAGTGTCGTTTACAAATGGCGTCTTCGAGATTGGTCTGTGCACCTTGTGTTTTTCAACAGTGTTTATCGTTTAGTAGTGGAGCAAAGTGTAGATTATATTTTTCATATCATCACAACTTGATGGTTCATGTAGAGCATTATTTGTAAGATAAATCTAGTTTGATGATTGTGTTTGTATTTAGAGGTCTTTTTTTACCAGAATAATGCATTTCTTTCTTATCTCTTAAAGCAGCGGAAGCTACGGACTCGCTGTTACAGTGTACAAATATATTATCTGTCTGTTTGTGTATTTTAATTATCATATATTTAAGTTTTTATGATGGAGCGAGATAGAAAGAGAAGAACGAGAAGTGTCATTATTAGATATTTACACGAAAAATTATTTTAGGTTACAAACAATTTTATTATTTAAAAAGTATATTTTAAATTATATTTCTTTGAGGATAAATTGATCTTGTAGTAGAATAATCTTTTTTAACGTGATCAGATAGAAATTCAATCGAACATTCGTGAAGTGAATTATGTTTGTGTGACGTAGTTAGAATTGACCAAATATGGTCTATTTGTTTAATACCATAATTGGTCATTGGTAAATTTATTGTTTTTTAAAAGGTATTGTTGGTGTTTTCCATGTGCGTTTTTTATGTGTGAGGAAGTGCCATCGAATTCAGCACAGTACTGAGTAGTTCAAATATTTGTGAAAAATTCACAATATATTACAAGGCTGCTGTGTTGATATTAAAATTTAGACAAGCACAAATATAATAAGATTAATTTTAAAAAAAGTTATGTAACAGAATATAAATTTAACTTTCAAATGTTAGACATTGATTTGTTGATCTCTGTATTGCTGCTCAATAGTGTTTTGTTATGCAAAGTGGCCTTTCTACTCTACACGGTGCTGACATGCTGCAGATCCTCCGCTTTGAGGGGCTTGCCTTGATAATGTGTATGTGACGTCATGATCCGGGGACTTGAACGTTACGTCTGCAGTCGGGATACGAACCCTTAAGGTATTATATTATGATATATTGTCCAGGCCAGGTTTGGTAGTACTTTATGTAACAACCTTATTTTTCTGAAGGTTGGCATGGATGATATGGCATTCTGTGGAGTTTTTTTAGAATAAAGCTGTATAGAAACTCAAATTCATCTCTATTTTTATTCATTTATTTATTCATTTATTTTTAGTCATAGGGGGTTGTGCTCAGTGTAAACGAGGGGGTGCAATGGGTTGATATCTGAACATGTTTGTGTAAGTATGGATCGGTACGATACACTTAAACGGGACGGACGTAGACCGTCTTATGGATCATCAGGAGAATTTTTTTCCAGTTTACAACTGTCATTTTTAGTTCTAATACAGACACAGACTGGGTGATGACGCTCTTACCTCCCTGGGGGTGGGGGTGGATAAATTGAATGTACTATTATTGTAAGTGACTGCATAGCGCGGCTGACAGGATTCTCCGCAGAAAATCTCGGAAAATCAACGGCGCATTGTGTGCATCACATTTTTCCTCAAAATGTTATTTTCTTCTTTAGATTTCGTATGGGAAATTACCAGTACGAGAAAAATTCAGGCTTGAAACCTGCATGCAAACGGGGGACAAAAAGTCTACCCATACTGATGTAATTACTATTTCCAGTCTATTGTCAATAACCAGCTGTCGACAGCGTGTACATGTAATTACCTTTGTGTCATCAGAGTTTACCTCACCTTCTGTCTCTGTCCAGCCGCAATTTCGCACCGATGCCTGGAGATACCAGTTCATTATTCTCTGTGTAACTATTTTCATATTATTTGAAGTCCTCCCCTGTAATTATCTCCCATCGTCACATAACTGAAGGCGTCACTCGGTTGAGTAACCAAATTTCACGATTTGAGTATTTCTATATGTCCCAACCACAAAATAGACAAGAAATATACAGCGTACTAAAAAGAACTTGATAAAATACGTGGCAGCTTATTCAATGTCATGAGCGACAACATATTGTTGGTAAAGAGGTATACAGAAAATTAAAATAAATATACCTTGTGGGCAGAGATCTAGACAAAAAACTTTGTCAAGGTGTTCATTTATGATTTTTAACCTCCCTTTCTGAGAATTAAAAACGTTTGAACCTGGCGTCACTGTAGTGAAGGACTGTTTGACAAGTTGAAGGTGTGTGTGGGTGGGGGGGGGGGGAGAGAGGAGGACACACCGAGAGACACCGCCGGGAGTTTGGTTGTTATCTTTGGCAGGTAGAAACACAAAAGAAAAGTTGTCATACCTGTCTTCCAGTATTATCAGATCTTAACAGCACGGGGAGACGGGATGATCAATAACAATTGAACATTGTCATCATCATCATTTATTAATGTGTCATTTGCATAGAACACCCAGCCCTTTTGCATGCGATTTTTTCTCCCTTTGACCAAAAATCTTAACAATAAAGTCTGCTAATTGCTTAATTTTTTTTCATTAAGTTTTCTGTGGAAATGTCATTTATATCATTTGTTCGGTATTCAACTTTTCATAAAATTTATATTTTTTCGCCATGTAAGCAGTGCACCGAAGTTAGAAATGACAATCATCTCCTGAATCTTTTTTTGCTTAGTCTGCATATTCTTTCATTAATAGATGTGTTTGTGTAACGTCCACATTAAGTGGGCTAATTCATCAACCATAATGACTTCACAGTGCATCAAGATTTAAGATCCAAGATTTAAGTTGACTTATAAATTACTTAATCCTTCTGTTTAACCTTTCGCTTTCAAATTCTTAATGTATTCTCGTATCAGTTTGGAATTGTAGATTTTTACTCGACTGGGCCTTTAATATTGTAGAGAAAATATTAATCATAAGCCCTTCCACACAAGGTACCGTATGAATCCATTTTTAAATAAATAAATAAATAAATAAATAAATAATCTGTGTATTACAAAGAAAATCCACAACTTGCTGTTCTTGAGTAAATTATTTCAGCATGATATTTGTTTCAATTTTAATTGACTTGAAAGAGCAATAGAGGCAAATTCAAGGTTCTACATTCTGTATTGTTTTTGAATATCGTCCTTTTCCTTTCTGCAGGCTAAGTTCGCTGATGTCGAGTCCGTGAAATAATTACTGGTTAATTCTAGTTTTGATAAAAATGATACAACGCTTCTATTAACACTCCTATTAAATCTTCTTTAAATTGAAGGCAAAATTCCGAGAGCATATTCTTCATTTGTTTTATTCACATTCTTTTCCCATTCTTCAAAGTTCTATATTTATATAATGTATAATCCTAGTTACGTAGATATTTGGAATGTTTTCCTATCCACAGGATGTCCTCTTAGACAAATAATGTCCAGAAAGTGAGCGTGTCTGCATTCTATAGCAGGTAAACACAAAGATAAAAAGACGTCATACTGCCTTCCAGTATCGTCACATCTTAAACAATTCGGGAAGTTGAAATGAATGATAACAATCAAATTACGTATGGCTGGTTCATGATAACATACATCCTGACTTTTGAACTTCACAGTTTGCGTCAAGGAGCCTGAAACAAGTTCTTTAGTTGCCTGATTAATTAGAAAATGTGTAATTACACTAAATTACTAGGGATACACAGGGTGTGCGTGTGTTTGGGGGTTGGGGGTGAAAATAATGTGCTCTGATTGGTCTGGAGTTGGCGCTGATTGACAGTAAGCGGTAGGAGTGGCAATACCCACGTTCCCTCTATAAATGACGCATTCGAGGCGTAGTTCGCAGTTTAAAACGAAATGCAAGACATGGACTCTCTTCCAAGGTAGGTGCCTGTGTGTACATATATATATATATATATATATATATATATATATATATATATATATATATATATATATATATATATACAACAAGGAAGTGTGAGATATTGGGAATAAGGCACCAGTCGCAGCCGGTTCTTTCAAAGGGCGGGGGTATCCTTATTTTATTATTTTTTTTTTTTTGCAAAAGTGGACCTTCGTCTACCTAGATCAAATGTTTATTTACATAGAACCTTTCTTTTCAAAAAGGGCCGTTCGTTACAACGACATCAACATTAATTTCATAAATTTCAGTGTCTGTAAATTCAGAGACACTCACGAATCAAAAGTAGGGTCTAAAAGGGTGTGCCTAAATAGCGCAATATGCTGCAAAACAGTTGAACACAGCGCAATACACTGGGGAAAAATGAGTACATGTATACAGTCACAAATATACAAGGGAACTGTCATTCTTTGTTAAATAGGGTGTTTTTTAAGCAAAATGTATTTATAGGTAATTATAATATCGTTGCTACAACTTTCGACAACAAGAAAAGCCACTGGCCAACATGGCGAACAACCCGACCATAAATAAGTCATCCGATTTGTTAAGTTACATCAACGACAGCTTTTAATTTTTTCTCGCCACTGACCGTGTCCCGTGTTTATATTTGTTTTTATTACTGACATTGCTACAACATTTTCGGGTCCGATTGGAACCCGTTGCCTAATCGTACAAAATGGGGCTCAATATTGCTAAAATTCTTGCAGTCCAAAATATAATATGCTTTGTTCTAATTATGTAAATGTATAGGAAAAGTTTCCCTAACTTTGTGCCACCAAGGTAGAAGCCTTATACTGTCAAAATGTTTAACCGATGAAAACATGTATAGTTCTGATTTCAACAATTTCAATAAGATAAAATACTTAATAACTTAAAAATATAATTATTAATATAAGTACTTCCTTTATTGATATAATCTGAAGTTGTTATCATAAACATGCAGAACTGTCATGCATATACAGAAAAACATGAGTAAGCGGTGGGTCCAGGCATATCCCTGTTATACAGATTACTATGTTTTGGCGTCTGTAATGATAACGATTTACTATACAGAGTTATTAGCCTACCTATAAGCAGCTTTATAAATGTGTTTATCTGTACTGTTTGTTTGTTTGTTCCTGTTTCACCAGCTGGTACCTGATAATTATCAACATGTGAATATTGATACAGTGTGGACTGTCCAGTATTCCGGCCAGTAAACAATGTAAACAAGTAAACAAAGTAGGTGTCAGCGTCACTGAATGGATCAGTTTTAAAGTGTGAATTCCGATTTGAAGGATCTAAAACCAGATTTTTTTAAGGAAAAATTGCGACATTACTATGAATATTTAATTTTAAAAAACGTCCATTCATTTTCAATTATTTTCGTCGGTGAAAGAGAATTCGCACACAAAGTGCTAAACTACTGTATATAGAGGATCCGCAATCATCTGCGCTAATCACATGTGACGCCGGTGACTCCCATTCCGAGGTTTACCATTCCTGCCACACTGAGTGTCCGTGTAACGCACTTCATTTAGTTAAAATGGATAGGGTCAGTCTGACCTACAGGTACGTGGGTCAACATCTAAGACCAACATGTGCGCGTGGAACGGGAGGTACGGGAACTCTTGGCGCCCAAGATATTATCTTCACATCCCGAATTCGTGGGTAAATAAAATCTTAAGATACATCAAAGCGATACTGAAGCACAAGTCTTCGATTTAATTCTGGGTCCAGCTTTATCAACACTGGATAGCGCTATCCTATATTGATAACACTAACCTTTGGATAACATATTGTTATCCTCTGGAAAGTTATCCTGGGGATAGCAGCTTTTTTTAACGTTCAACGCCCAGGGGTGCTCTACCTGATTTTGATACCAAAGTGTAAATTAAGATTCATCCAGTTGTGATGTTGAAAACGCAAACATATTAACTCTCATTCTGGACACACGTAGAACTACAAGGTGTCATGAAGACACGAGTTCCGAAGTTTCTGCATGACAATCTCAGCTTAACATCTAGCAGATCTACTGAGTGTCCAGTTTGAGAGTAAATATTTTCTGCCTTTCAACATGATTTTGATGAGATAAAGTTTGTTGTGGTTGCGGTAGTTGTGGCTTTTTATTTAATCGCAGTCACGAAACAAAAATATGTCAATTGTGAGGCTTCCAGGTCTTCCAAATTTGGAAGTAAAATTGGGACTTTTTTCCTTGTTTGCCAAGTGACCACTTAACAATAAATACTCTAACATCAAATCCAGTGTGAGAAAAAGGCCATTTTTGCGCGGTTTCTAAGTTCTTGTGAATA